CGCCCGATTGACACCTATACTTGGAGGACTTAAAAGAACCATAAGACAACAAACTCAACCAATGGCGGAACAAGCCCATCAACAACAACTAAGGCCAAGGACGACGGGGTCTTTCTCTAGAGCAAGTGTAGAAAATGTGTAATCGTCGATTCTTCACCCAACATCCACAACAAATAGGGTTGGAAATCGGTACGGTATTGATATCCATATACCAAATACCGAAATCTCAAATACAAAATTACACCCTAAAATTAATCCCAGTCTCTAATAAATTTGGTATCCCAATCCCTAAATATTTCGGTATCCCAATCGTTATTTGAAATTAGTAATTAAATATATAAATTAAAGTATGTAATCTAGTTTTCAGGCAAAGACACTAAGTAAAAGGTTTTGAGTTCGTCTAGAGCTGGGACATGGATAAGGAGAAGGGAGGAGATGGTGACATTTCAATTTCTTATCATTTGTAAAATCTAATTCGACGGATTGTAGGGCAAGAGATGACTAATGAGAGTGTATGCTTTTTGGTGTTATGAAAATAACAAGAGATTTAGTGAAAGACAAGTGACTTAAGTTATCCAAATCGGGTTGAATGGGGGCTTGTGAGTTGTTAAAGAGTGAAAAATGGCCAACGATTGTGTGCTATACTTCATTCAATTTTAATTTTTTGATTTTTATCGGTATTTCGGTATAATACCGATCCCAATCCCGTAATCACAAATACGTACCGAATAAAACTCGAAAATGAATCTCAATCCCAATCCCTAAAAGATAAATCGGTATTCCATAATTCCAAATAGTGATTAATTTGGTACGGTATTCGGCATATCCAAAATATAGGTACCAAACTTCCAGCCCTACCAACAACAACTATGAAATCAAGTCCAGGACTATATTTATGCTTCAGAACACGACTCAGTTTCATGGATTGATGAGTGAAGATGCACATGCTCACATCAAGTCGTTCTATAAGCGTATGGATGGTATCAAGGTTAATGGAGTCCCTCAAGAGGCGATTCGACTAAGCCTTTTCCCATTCACATTGAGTGGGGCAGTGAAGGAGTGGTTTAACAATCATCCTCATCATTCAATCACTTCTTGGGCGAACCTATGTGATAAGTTCTTCGCTAGATAAAATTGTCAGTTTGTGGGAAATGAAGTGCGGGACTCACTAATGTGGGGACTAGCTCATTGGTCATGCAACTAGCCACCCTCATAATACGATCCGCTTCCCAATGTCAACTCGATCAGGTTCATAGTACTAGGTATACGGTATAGACCCTTTCAGTAGGTTACACCTATCAACACACTAGTTGGACATGTTGATTGTCACGCATGCATCACCCTGCATTACCTAGGTGGGCATCCCAACTGGCAGGGAATGGTCCCCTCAATCACCAACCGGGATCCTAAATTATTCATCTACACTACACATGCCAAGCAGCTCAAATTCACAACCATCTCATACAAACCCAACGTAGGTAATCAAGAAAAGCATATGGAGAGATAAGTTGAAGACATTGCCACAATTTATACTAGGAAAATCAAGTTTAAATCATTAATACTATGTTCGGGTAATTGAGTCATGTGTGAGCGCTCTGAGTGCATTTAATAATAGTTTGCTTAGGGCTGCCAATCGGTTTCCCAGTTAATGGTGTAACCGGTTATCGGTTATACTGTTAACCAGGAAACTTGGTTGTCGGCTGCGGTAGAGGAGGCTTCGGTATAACAGTGGTATTCTGGTTAAACCAGATACCTTCACTTGTGACGCAAAACTTAGAGTTGGTGGAGAAGAAAATCTAACGGACATTCGCCTTCCCAGTTCCCAGACGCCAGACTAGCCTTTGCCGCTTTGCCTTTGACAAACGAACCCAACCCAGTGAATCAGAGCTTCCCTTCTCAACTCTTGCATCGCCAGCATCGTCCTCGAGGCAGTCGCCATCCCTTCGCTAAAACTATAGCTTCGTCGGGGACCCAAAAACCCGAATTGTTGTAATCCCTAGCTTCGCCTTCGCCAAACATACCCAATCCAACAAAACAGAGCTTCCCTTCTCAACTCCCTTGCCGGCAGTGGCCTCTTGAGGTCGCTGCCAAATTTAGCTATAAGATATCCCAAACTTAGATTGAGAAAGGCTAGAGAGATTGAACCCCCGAGATGTGAAAATAAAAAACAAAGGCAATGAAGGCAGAATCAGGCAAAGAAACAGAGTGAGGTCACGGGTTGAAGCAAGTAGATGAGAGGAAACTATAAAAGGAAAGATGAGAAATTGAATGACGGAGAAATGGATTTAAAAGTCAGACTTTCACGGAGGGGAACATACGGGCAATTACGGGAAAAGGGGAGGAATCAGAAGGCCCGACGAAAGCACGAAGCTCGTCTTCCTCTTCCCTAATCGCTGGCGATGTAGCTTGTCTTCGTCTTCCCTAGTCTTCACCGCCGCTCTGTAAGTATGAATGATTTATGTTTGAATTCCATGCCACTCCTATTCCTCTCCTCCTCCTCTCTATCTTGATCGTTTTTTTCTCTCTGATTGAATTCCCTTTGCTTTGTCTTTGTGGAAGAGAACAGAGCTTCCGAGCTCCTCAAAGTCGAGTAGTAGGTGCAGAGCAGCCGACCACCAGCAGCTCGCCTAGTGAAGTCGAGCAGCAACAAATAGGGAAAAAGGGAAATATGTTTTTCCCTCTCCTATGCGGTTAATCGGTATAACCGGTTTGTAATTGTTAACTGGCTATCTGATTTACCGGTTAACCGGTTATAAAGCGGTACCGGTATTCGGATTCCATCTGCCCTTAAATGGTATATCGGTAACCGGTCAGTCATTAACCAGTTAAACCGGTCATTAACCGGTTAAATCGGTAACCGACTGATTACCGCCTCTAGGTTCAGTGCATATCTTTTTATGACACTTTGTATATCCTTTTAAGTGGTCTCAATGTTCGTTATTACATACAATGTTTAAGCATCTGTCCGACGAACCAGACTAACATGTGGCCCTGCGGTTTAGTAACTTCTTCTTTCCAGAGTGGGCATTTGTTACATTGGAATGGTCGTTGAATGCGTCATTCCCATGCCTAGGTGCATGTTATAGCTTATTTGGTTGGGTAGGTCAGGAGTGAGCAATTGAGTTTTTTTTTTGAGTGACCTGATTTATTAGATTATTGATCAAATCAGGCTTTTGCTTATCAAGTGTAACAAGAAGTATAATTATTATTAGTGCTATTAGTGGATGTTGGTTGAAGTTTTGTATTTCATCATGTAGCCAAAGTCAAGTAATGAGTGCATTTATAGTCTTTTACATTCACGTAAGGAACGGGTAGAGACTTATTTATTTGAATGTGAATATTTGTATGGTTTAAACTCTTTTCATTTCTATTAACATTATTTACACATTATCTAATATTAAGTAATCCTTAAGTCGCACATTTGGAGGGCATGCGTTGATCCTCCTGCTTTAGCACACCAAAATACGAACATAGAGGAATTCCAAAAACCTTCGCGAATTAATATATCAGACCGAAAGACAACGAGTGGTTGTTTCGCCAAATAGGCATCTAAATGACAGGTGAGAGTTAGAACGAAGTATATTGATGATAGTACAAGCTCTCCGTAGGGCTCAGATTAGTAGATGGATTATCTGCCAATCACCACCGATCGACTAAGACTTTATATAATTTAAGCTCTTTATATTTGATGTGCAGTCAATTAGATTAAGGGCTCATAACTAGATTGGAAAAGATAGTTTTGATGAGATTATTGAGGTCGCACTGATTTAGAGATTGTTTGGATTGGTAGAATAATATTATGTATCAGAATCTTGGATTTGTGTATGTCAAGAACCAGTTGATCCCAATAACTCAAGTTGTTGGGAGAGGTTCCATCGTGGATCATATACCACATATTAACGTGCCCCCCTCAAACGAAGCCGCACACAAGGACTTGAAATTTGCACGGGTCCGAATACCATGTGCTTAACAAATGTGGGTCACCAAGAATCGAACACAAGACCTCTTGATCATAGAAGGCTCTGATACCATGTCAAGAACCAGTTGATCCCAATAACTCAAGTTGTTGGGAGAGGTTCAATCGTGGATCATATACCACACACTAACAGTGTAGACGATACCCTTTTGGTGGAATGGAACGAAGAATTGACTATCGATGGCTAGAAAAAATGGGACGATGATGAGAAATACTAAGACAGTGGGACGGAGTGCTAGGATGTCATTTGGGGAAAACTTAGGGCTTGAAGTAGGAGGAGAATACATGTACTTTTATTTTTTTATTTTATAAGTAAAATTTAAAATACAAAAACAATTTATAGAATTTTATATAATAATTTTAACAAATTTTTTGAATGAACTATTTAAATTTGTTATTTTCTTCTGGATCTATATATTGAATTAAAAAAAAGAGGTGTTGTAATATTTTGTCTCAAATTTGATAGTATGTTTAGTAATTGTTAAATAATATATTACCACTTTATTAATGTTATGAATATACAACTCTTTGAAATATATACTCTCTTGTTCCACAAGTCGATAATTTTAAATAATTTTGCCAACTCGCCGAGCCAAAAACTTGTTTTCATTTAATTGCAATGGAGAGAGGGGATTATGGAGAAAGCCAGAAAAGGAGAGTCACGTAAACATTAATTATATTAATCATATTTCAATATTATCGCATTAACCCTTAACAATATATTAACCACTAATCTTTCATTAACCAACTAAATTTGGATGAGCCACTAAAAACGCTTTAAGCAAGAAAAACCACAACTAAATTACATTCTTTGTTTTTTTTCCCCATCCAAACGCTTGTATTTGGACCAAAAACCCTCTCATCAGTCCGGATACATGTGTCACTTTCTAAGAGTTGCACGTTGAGGGCTCTGGAACAGCCACATGGTGACACGTGTAGTTAGTCTGAGGTCTCAAGTATCAATGATTGATGTACTAGATCTTTTTCAAAGTGGAAATTGTTAAGTTTGGTTGCGGGATGCATCATGGCTTCCTCATCATCACGTTCGCCATCGCCACCAGCGGTTGCTGCTGCCGCCGATGCGAATGGAACAAGGGAATTAGAGGTGTCCCTTGCTCCGGCGGGGCTGATGAAGAAGGACTGTATGTGGTTGGCGGTGTCGGTGCAGGAAGGTTTTCGCTACATCAAGGCTTTCTTCGTGGGCCAGGTATCTATATACTTATTATGTGCTATGGTGCATGCATGCCTGCGATTTTTGAGTACGCAATAGAGAAACTGAAATGCAAGATGTTTGGTTTGCTGGTTAAACGAAGGCAAAGAAGTTGACCGCGAAGAGCGAGGAGGCGGCGGCGGCGGCGGAACTTCAGACTTCCAAGATGCAGGTTGAAGCTGCGGATGAGGCTGAGACTGCCAAGAAAAAGCTTCAAGGGAGTTGATTAATCTTGTATTGTTTCTCAATTTCTCGTTAATTAATTGTTTCTGAACAAACTGAATTACGGGAATTATGTTAGTTTCTTTATTTTATTTTATGATTTCGCCTTTTACTTAGTCAAACAATTCTCTGGTGACCGTCATTGATCGATGTTGGTTGAGTTGTGTGTATAGGCAAGGTGACAAAGAGAGTACAAAAAGAGAAGAGAGAGTGTTCTTGTTATGAGTTTGGGAAGAATGAGGAGTTTGTTTTTTATTTATTTTAGGCAAAATATACTTATATAGTCAAAACATTCACATTTGTTCTAATAATAGCCAAATTTAAAAAAATATCAATTATAGCTCGCTTTTACAGTTGTTGTATGACAAATATAGTCATTTCTGTTAGATACTTTAACGATATTATTTATATCGTTAACTTATTTGACAGTTTGATGATTAAGCGCCAACTCAGCGAACATATCAGCGCCACATAAGCAAATAGTGACACGTTAGATATTTCAATTATTAATATTTACAAATCATAAATTAAAAAAATTCACCCTCATATACCCCATCTGAGACCCGTTTTTCCCAACTTTCCCCGAAATTGATTTTAGGGTTCTTCCCCAAAATCAACGGCGACGACACGAACAGAGATGACCCAGAAGCAGCGGCGGCTTATGGAATCTAGGTTTCTGATCGGGTGGCGGATTGAGGAAATCGGGCGGGACGTCGCTGCCTCCTTCTTTCCGTCTTCATCTCCTCTTTTTCACCAACCAGCTACGATCCCAGCTTCAATCGTAGTCACCGCCATCGCCACCAAATTGCATGTACGGAAGAAGCCGCCCACCATGAATGGCGCTCCAAAATTCCCCTAAAACCACTAATATGCAACCAAAATCCTAATTCACAAACCCAATCGAACCAAAATCAGATTCAACCCCCTAGAGACCCTAAACCAAATTCAATTTTCCCCAAACTTCACTTCCTCCACCTTCCTTTTCGACTGAAAGGCAAAAAGACCATGGGGAGGAAGAAGGGCGTCGCCGAGTTCGAGGAATCTCCGCCGGATGACTTCGATCCATCCAATCCGTACAAGGATCCCGTGGCGATGCTCGAGATGAGGGAGCACATCGTGAGGGAGAAGTGGGTCGCCATTGAGAAGGCCAAGATTCTTAGGGAGAGGCTCCGCTGGTGCTATCGCGTCAAAGGTGTCAACCAACACCAGAAATGACGCCACCTCGTCGAGGAGTACCTGGAGTCCCCCTGTCCACTCTTCTTCCCAGCTAGGAACACCGTCCTCTAGTCGCGGAAGTGGGACGATGAGGAGATTTGGCAGTTTTGGCTTTTGGGTGAGAAGAGGAGAGTTGAGTGCAGGATAGATGGGATGAGATGAAGTGATTTTGGCGAAGGCAACGTAGGTTAGGAGGAAGAAAAGGAGAGATGTGGGAAGATGAGGCAGATTCAATCTCCAGTTAGGAGATTTTTAACTAATTTTTTATTTAATTTAATTCAAGTTAAAGGATAAAAATTTAATAATTTTCCACCCAACATTATTTGGAATAAAAATATGCCACATCAACCATTGTTGTTAGTCCAGTCAGCCTGTTAAATGACACCGTTAAAGAATTGGAAGGAAGTGCTACAAGTGGTATTTCTCCAAATATGGCTATTATTGGCACAAACGCAAAAGTTTTGGCTATACAAGTGTATTTTGCGTTTATTTTATGAATAATCCCTTTCATTCCATCGATATAGTCTAAGTTACGTACATCGGTAACTCGTGTGAGTGCTAATACAAGTTGCCCTATCACATTTCTATCGTTATACATATATCGTTCTACGTACATCAGTAACCCCTTCACCCAGGGGTGGACCCACCTATTGGAGAGGTGTGTCAACCGCCGACCAATTTTTTTTTGTGAGAGACGTATGTTTTTTCGGGATACGAATATGTGACCTCCGATACACTTTCAATATTTGTAATGAACACATTTTCATTACATTATAAGAAATTTTATGTCATAGAGTTATTAAAAATATATAAATATAGGAGTTAATGGACTTCCGACTAGACAGTTAATTAGTTGGTTGTACGAGAGTAAATAATTAATTGACGACTTAATATGCGAAGTATTCAGAGAGATAAAAATTAGCTTAAAGATTACATCAATAATTTTGAATGAGAATTAATGATTAATAATTGAGTTCAATCAAGTAATTAGATAGTGAATTACATATTGTCTTTTCCCAGAGCTTATTTCCATTGACAACAGATTTTCCATGAAGTTAATTTTCAATTTGGTTTCTGATTTAGTTATTATTTTACATTAAATTATAGAAAATTAATGTTGTTCCTTCCAGTTCCTTAATTTTAATCATTAGATCAAGATTTTACCGATCCATGTGGAACGATAATATGCTTATCTCTATTACTGGATAACTAATTTGCATAAATATTTATCGCATCACTTCTCCTTTTTTATTGGAAAAAATGAAAACTCCATCTTAATTACATTAAAAAACCTGTTTATCCTCTTCCTTTTTTAATTCACATTTCTTCCTTTCCTATTATGTTTATTGAGAGGAAAAAATCTCCAACACCTGCCTTGAAGCTCTCTGCTCATAGTAGAGTGACCAATTTATAAATAATTGTTTAGTTATGAACATAAAAAGGGTTTAATTTGCATATAAGTGACAAATATAATTTAGAATCTTTAATAACATGAAAATTTGTCGTGTTTCGCTATAAAAATCAGTGAAGTTATAAATTTTATGAATAAATCTTATATATTTATTTTAATTAGTTAATTTTTAATTTTCACTATTTTTATTGACTGACACACCTATCCAATAATCCTGGGTCCTCCACTGCCTTCATCAAATGACTCTCCACACTTCCTCTAAGCTTTAAAACTTTATTACACATCCATGAGCCAGGAGTTCTAGTTTCCCATATGCTCACATTCCTCAAACTGTATTGCATTACGCAAGCAATCCACATTGTTTTCTGACCAGACACAACATTCCAGAGATGCTTGACTAGATAAGTCTGATTTCAGCTAAATAAGTCTTTAAATTCACTTTCATCCTGAGGCAATGCTACATGTTTCCAAGTTACTTTGGCCTTCTTCTTCTCTGACTCCCATTGAAGTATAAGTACAACTTCTCAACAAATTTGATTACCTTCTTGGCAATTGAAAAATTATCATCCAATACTGAACTACACTAGCAAACACAAAGGTTACTAAATGCAACTTACTAGCATATGAGCAGGGTTTGGCCTGCCACCCTAATATCTTATTAGAATCATTTTCTACAGGGCCCTACATTCTCCAGGGTTCAACTTCTCAACAATTAGGGAACTGCTAGGTGCCTGACAAGTGAGATCTCCTCCTTGATCCCAGATTGCTAGATCAAGACGGTCTTCAATTCCTCATCCATATCCGCACAAAAAAGCTCACTCTTTTTTTCATTACATTTTAGCCATGATATTTGGTAAAACTGCTACAATATCACTTCTACACTCTGAACCCCTTTCACTGTGCCTTCTGTAAAAATAGAAAAGATCGCCTGCAAAGCAAAGATGAGGCAAGCCTATTCTTTGACAAAGAGGATGACCAGGAAGGAACTTGGACTCTGTAACTTTAGTGAGTATACAACTCAGAATTTTCATAGCTATTGTGAAAAAGTAGGTAAAAGGGGGTCTTTGATGACACTTTATTTATAGTGTTATCACTCCAATATTTGATATATTTTTCTCTTCTATCAATGTAGCTTTTGTAGTTTAGATTATATTTCATATGGAATTCATAACTATTTGGAAAATGACCTTATGATAGACCTTGAGTGTGAATTTGTACTATTTGGAGCTTTCTTCGTGTTGTTTTGTGTTTTTCAAAGATATAATGCACCCAGGACGAATATGGATCACCAAGGGACTCAATGGATTAAAAATAGGTCGAGGATACAAGCTCATGGGCTCAAACATAGACGGATTCTGACACCGAAAGTCAAGTTGTGGACTAGATGATAGTATTTTGAAACCATAGTTCGATTTTCATTTCAAAAAAAGAAACTATTACACTCTAGTTAGTTTTGTTTTGCAAGATTTGCACTTGAGGAAGCTATAAAAATCTATCCAAGGACGTGCTACCAAAAAGAAGGAAGAAAGATGGGTTCAAAAGCATCAATGGTTGAAGCAAGCAACATCGATCCTCCCCCACTTCATCTGTATATACAAAGGATTCGTGACAAATCCATGAGCAAGGACACAGATCTAGAAGAAGTGAGGATACTAAAGAGAATGGGACTTGACCCTACCTTGAAGGAAATGAAGCAAACTATTGATGCAAGACGGCAGATCAAGTAAGAACTTCCTACAAGCATCAATGGCAGCGTCAAAGATGAAGGGACAAAGCAACTCCTATTAGATGTTCAAATCATCGAGGAGCAAAGCTGATAAAGGAAGTTCCAATGAGATGCACTCTTCTGATTTTGATGAAGTTATCCAATTCAAAGATGGTTCATATAAACTTACACAAAATTTACCGCCTAGGCTGATGAAATAAGTTCACAATTAGTCAATAATAATAATAAAGAATATATTTTCTAGTTGACTACGCGCCATGTTGCTATGTGGGAGTCTCAACAGAGTGTGCATTCTTTTAGTTGGTTGCGTGTTGTTCATATTGATGGGATGGTCCAAACTATGAACGTGAGTCTCCAGTTCTTCTACTTACTTCAACTTCTCTATCTAGAATTAGAAATCTGCCAAAAGCCATATGATATGATCCCAATTGGATCATTCTACAAGTTTTCATTGCTTGTTCCAGAAGCAATTTCATCGACTAATAAGAAACCTCAAATTTGGTTAAGTGTTTATTTTGTTTCACGAAGCTTATTTTGCAAGCATGTTTCTCACGTTTAGCTCTATTAACCAAACTCACAATTTTTGTATTCAATCAATGAAATTTGAGGTTACAATGCAAACATAATAATTTAAATAGAACTAAACTAAGCTACAATCTCTAGAACGATGACCAAACACAAAGGAATTCGGAAAACAAAATCAAAACAAATAAAGAGTAGAAATCCTAATCCAATCAGGAAACAATTTACTTGAATTGCAAGACAATTTTGCTAGACTTCATACTATTTTAAACACGTTCGTTCAAAGTCTTTGGGGTATGCCCTTGCTCATCCAATTACTTTAGGTTGTAGACAAAAGTGTGCACTCTCATGTACCAAAGCCCTCTTGCTTTGACGCTTCTTCCTCCAGCATGAATAAGGACTCAAAGTAGGGTTTCCGAACTCGTCCCCATACTTAAGCCAATTTCAGACAGTTTCCCGGTTGCCTCATAGCATCTTGAGAGCTTTGGAAAATGACCTTAAGGACTTGTCCAGAAAAAAACTAGCTTTCAAACATCTAGCCCAACTCTTGAACTTCAATACCAACCCTTCCCCTTGCATTTTCATCTAGCCATTTGTGAGATACTGATTCCCAAAGTAGGCACCATGAGACTGCCTCTATACTTAACCAATTTCCCCTTCTTGTGTCAATTTGGTTTGCTTCTTTACAAAGTAATTGAAACTTGTAAACCAGGCGAATTGGAATCATATCAGTCTTTGTTATTCATTTCTTTCTCATAACAAGTATTCAGTTTTGGTTGTTTGCAATTCCTTTATCTTGTCCTGTAGTCATGTATTAGCTAGGTTTGCCCGCCCGCCCGCGGCACTCTTTTATGCTTTCTTCAAGTCATCCACTGAATTGCAGTTGAAGCATTTAAGATCATAACCATACACAAAGCTCTTCCTTGCAATTTGCACCCCTAGATAACCTCGTTTGCTTTTAGAAAATAAAATATGTCCAACGAGTTAGAATGCACTAGCGGGAGGATCTGAAAGTGTCAGGCTAGGGCAGACCCTCGCATATTTGCATACTAGTGGAATGCAAGATCACCTTAACCAAAGCTCGTTAGGAAAGCATGTAATCAACCTGCTAATTTCCAGAAACAATGTTAATTTATATCCCATTATTTTTCTTGTCTCGTTATGATCTTGAATATCAATATATCATGCATGATGTTAATTACATGAAATCTGATAATACAAAATACACAGAGTTCTTGAAATCTTTGTATGCCATGTTGTCCTAGTGATTGCAGCATAATGGATATGCCTGACAACTACTCTTTTCTGTTTTCGGACAACTACTCTTTACATTTGCAGGTGACTTTTGACCACAACAACATATCAACTTGGAGTACGCCTTTCCGTGGAGGCCAAGATAACAGGGACAGCCGCCACTAGTCCACCAAATGTTTTTTTTTTTTTGTCTATTAGTTTGTCTTTACTTGAGAGGAACTAAAACAAAGCCAATTTACTTCTTCCCTTAAATCTCAATCTAATCAAAAGTTAAAAAAAAAAAAAGTTTACAACGTCAAATTCCAATAAAAGGATAATGTTTGTTTGGTTCATATTACTACAACCGTTAGGGTTTATATGCATGATATGGGTAATAACAAACATTTCCATGATCTTGTCAAAATATGACAATTCAAAGCTCTTACAAATAGACTACTTCATTGTGTTCACCTTTTTGTTTATTCTCATTTCAGAGGAGAGGAAAAAAAAACTAGAGGTAGTAGACTTTTACTTGGCCAGGAAAATCACCAGGGATCAAATCATGGCAGGCATATCAAATTGATCCTGAAACAGAAGGAGGGGATTCCAGGCGGATATAGTCATACATAATACCCTGGAAAGGGCTAGTAGCTCTTGGCTGACTCAAATATATAGTGTTACTCCCTGCAGCAAGCTTCACCCCGGCAACATCCACATTGAACAGCCAATACAATCCATGAATTCCATGCCTTGCTATTGAATTATCCTTCCCTATCAGCCCACTTGAAAATATTGGCCCCGATTTCGGGTCGTTCACCCGAACCTGCAAAAGTATAGAAGATGTAACGTTTACTTGGTTCATTCACAGAGTACCAAGTCTCAGCAGGGGAAATGTTGAACTCATATTCTACTTGAAGTTCTGAGTAGGTGGCAGAGGCAATCGCGACTCGCAACTTGTAGATTCCGTTGTGATCCACGTCTGCGAGATTGAACTTGATCTGCCATGTGGTTCCTTGATATATGCTGCTGTCTTTCCTCCTGTAGGAATACAAGTGTCAGGGCTATTTTGTAAGGATTTCAGGACAGGGGCATGTGAGACTTGACTTGGCAGAGCTACTTTTATTACCTGGTTACTTGAGCGAAAAACCAATCTTTAGTGTAATCACTAGCTCCAACGTTGTAAACCAAGTCGGCATCAGGGTATAATTCACCATATCTCTCCCACAGTCCATACTGCCTAAACCTGAAACATTCCTCAAGTTTCAGAAACTTTGCATATTGATTGACTCTGGAGTTTTCTTTTGCCCAATTTTTGCTTACTTTTCAGGATGATTGACAAAGAGCTTGTTGATGTACTTGGGATTAGGATCAGGAACGTAGAACTCCGACGCAGAACGATCAGGAACTCCTATTTCCCACAAGGTGGGACCATTTCTCGGAGGCTCAAACACAAGATCACCCATGTCAACATAACAACCTACAACATCAACAAAACAAACAAATGTTGAAACAACCGTTCTATCAGTTAATCAGGTTACTAGGAGGAACTAGTTCTTGACCATCACCAGCAGGAATCCAGAACAATGAGTACCTGAGGTTATTGAAACAGTGGCATCACAGCGATAGTCTCCAACGAAGCCTGGAACCCAAGCGTAGAGATTATAGTCGCCTGTCAGCACATTGTTGATGGAGAAAAACCCATCTTCGTCCGCTTTGGTCCAGAATTGATACTTCTGTTGTAGCCAGAAATCACCAAGGTAAACAAGACGTGGAAGCTAATTCTGGGGAAACAGTGAATTTGTTACAGGATTAATTAACAAAAAAAAGGACCTTGCATTCTCTCTGCCATGATCCAACATCTCCTGGTGGAGCCAATCCTACATAGGCTCCACTGGCATATATGTAATCATCCGAAACAAACCTGTCACCAAAAATTAATCAACTTGTTCAGCAGAAACCGATGATCATTATTCAGTACTGCTGCCATTAGCATCACAATATACTGTCTGGCAATTAACTTTGGAGTTGGGGTTTAGGGTTAATATAGAAATGATGGGGGATAGACCTGTCCTGAACCAGGAGCCTGCCGGTTGCATAGCCGCGCTGGTCAGGTTTCTGGTAGTCTTCTGAAGCTGGGAATGTGTAAGGCCAGCTTAGGACCTCAACCATCATCTGAAGTATCAATCAGCCACCAAATTGAAAATCAACATCATCAGGACAACTTCTTAGAGTACAAATATGAACATAGAGAGTACCAACATTACTGGACCTGAGCCTTGGCATCCTCCCAGAGTGAAGCTTTAGGATCCTCACTTGCATCTACAGGAGTGGTGTTGAAGTACATAAAAACCGGTCCAAACACTTTCTCCCATTCCTCACCATCTCCAATTTTAGGCACCAGGTCTTCCCCGCTATAATGAGCACTTATAAACATCTGAAACCCACCACTTTTTCCAAAATTCAGAACAATATTCGTGACCCACCAAACAACACGAGTAATTACTGGGATCTAGTGTACTAAAATGGTTGACAAAGAATGAACGAGTGGTGACTTAACTGCCAAGGTAGTTGGTCCCACATGGGAGGTCAGGTTCTGCTTGACAGGGCCGCCTGATCGAAACTCGTCGCTCGGGGTGATCTGCCAGAACCCTACGGGAGGGTCCGTGCAGATCCACCCATGGACCTTGTTATCCTTGTTGTCACACGAGTACTGGTACTTGTCATCCACCTCGCCTTTGAGCTCAGCCTCCACAGGGTTTACCAGCTGCACTGCTTCAGGGTAAGCCAGGGGCTGCCCTCTGGGAGGGATCCTGTCATCCGGGAGGGGCATATACCTCTGCCTGTTGTCGGATGCCACCATGTAGTGAAACCTGCAACCACAGAGAGATACCAAAATGCTAATCATTTCCCACTCTTTTGTTTTCCCCCACCTTATTCCTGTCAGGGTTGGTGGAAAAAAAAAAGAAGGTAAACTGACTTGTCTTTTCTGAGCTTGAACGCAATTCTGGTCTCTGCCAGGCTGAAAGCAGGCCAGTCTTTAGGGTGGTTGTAGATGGCGTAAGAGTAGAAGCCAGAGCTTCCCCTCAGCATTATGAACCTTTTGTCTATGTTGAGTGGAACCTGCTTCCCTTGAAGTGAAGGATCCCATGTCCTTGTGAAGGACACCTCCACCTGATCTTCTGTTTCGGTTATCACTTCGAAACTCGTACCCTTAATCCTACACACGGATGGATCTTGTTCTCTTATCATCACAAGTTAAGGCCACAAGAAAGAAAGAATTAGTGTGCAAGAAATGAGATTGGAGAGTGGAAGAGTGCGTACACGTCGAAGATTCCTGCAGTCCCTGGGGAGCTCCATACCAGGTCCCAATACCTGCAAAACAAGTTCCACCAGCAAACAAGTTCAATGGCTACCGAACATTCATTCCATGGATTGAGTATACACATTTGCATACCCTCGATTAGATTCCTGGTTAAGGACTTCAAGCAGATTGTCGAGGCCACCAAAACGAATACCTGTCACTATTCCATCAGGATTCGACAGTGTCACTTGCAGGAACCCATTGTCTAGCACCACCTGCAAAATATATATAACCCAATTCACCACCACATTTAAACCACGCAATAATTAAAATTCTGAAAATCAATCAATAATATTAAAAAAAAAATGTACAACAAGCAAAAAGATAGAGAATTTGGTCTCATTACATGACGATCCTGTACATGGAGTTGTACCCCAATGGTAGCTGCCATGGTGATCAATGCTTACATAGAAATGTGACTTATAAGTGTGTGTGTGTGTCGATATATATACACAAAAGAGACGACAGGATGGGGTTTTGCTTAACAAAGATATGAAGCATTCTTTTCTACACTCAACCCATAAAGAAAATCTCCACTTTCTTTTTACATGTGGATTGATTTGGTGTATTTATAAATGGATGATGTTATATAATGATGGATTCATAAAACTACTTTTGTTCAGTTCAATTGTATTAGAAAAGTTTCTGTACGATTGCTATCCTCAAGCATTTGAGATTACTTTATGTTAATACAATTGGAAATTTTAAATAAATATATATATATGGTTCAACCTAGTGTACGCCAGGCATACGCTTGCCTAAGCGTACACTCGTCGAGTTTAGTTATTTAGAACATAAATTAACCGAAGTTCAAAATATATATTGAGATTGGTCGGAATCCATAGAAATAAATCGGTCAGATTATCTGAAGTATACTATACTTCTAGACTTAGAGTACACTATATACCAATCATTACCACTAATTAATTAACAACGCAAGTATGAGGCACTGTTCCTCACGAAATTTCCGCCCGCATGCCTCCGTGGTTACTGTTCACCAGGGGAATTATTATTATGCGTTGGATCAATTAATAATTACCCTTGCCCATTTTCTTTCTTGGCAACTTTATTAGATCCATTATATGATTACGTTTGCCCAGTTCCTTTCTTGGCAATCATTTTAAAATTTTGGATGGTTATAAAATTCACTCTAATAATGTGGCGTTGCAGTCTCAGTAATTAGTCATGGCAATGGCACGATGCGGGTATCTCAATATACACACTCATCGGTCATCACGCATTAACCGCAGGTTAGGTCGAATAATATCCGTGCATGTATATGTGGGACGGGACAGATCGACCCCATTCTTATATGTTATTTGAAAAAATAATGTCGATACTAACTCTTTAAAAAGAAGGCATAGATAAAATACTTCATAAATTAATAAGAAATATAATATAAGAAATAATTGACTCTAAATAGTAGAAATGTTAATTTTAAAATATCTTTGAGAAGAAAATATTATTTTAGAAAGGTCAAAAGAGGACACATACAGATACAGGTTAATTTTGATGTTAATCAAGTGTAATACTTTTCGTAACTTGATTTTACTATTAGACCACATATTACGGAAGATTTAAGTAACAACGATGTATAATAGTTACCTAAATTACAAAAGCATTACATAAAATTTATCGAGGAATAGTTATTTCTTATGTATAGAGTAAATAAGTCTTCTCTAACAATTAAGACACTAATAAAATTGGTTGAACTAATCATAATGATAATTAAGACCCGACATACAACTCATGGGATCTTATTAACATAATGTTCTGACAAATAGAAATTAAGTAGATGAAGTCTGAAATATAATTAATTTCTAGCCGCCGCAAAGCGCGGGCCAAAAAACTAGTATATATTTACAAGTGGCTCAACACGAAGTTCAAAATCTAACACGGCAGCCGGTAAATGAAATCTTATTAGCAAATATATCTCACTTTAATTGCAGTCACTAACCTCCCAGCAAGTACATTCGACCAAACAATTTCTACTTATATTAATTATATAATGTTTTGGTTGTTTTTGACCAATGTGTAAATATTACTTAAACTAAGTATCTCTTGACTTCGTCGCTACTCGGATGCCACATCCACCATGGCGCCGCCCCACAAACATAAGGAGGTTTCTTGTAATTGTGGGTAATGGCGTGCAAGAAATGGATATATATTGGGGAGTTGTACGTTATACAGAATGAAATTCGGGGTATCGCATATATTGAGTAAGAAAATGATATTCAAAACTTGAATTGATTGATCTTTCGAACATGATACTATAATCTAATCCTTAAAGATCAAAATCTAGGTATTAATTCTCTAAATTTTATTCCCCAAGATCAATTTAATTAGAAACAATAATCGACGGTTATGATTTGTCCAAATATAGGCAAAAAAATCAATGCACCATCTTAGGGTTTATAGTTTATATTTAGATAATTAGGACCTAGGGTTCACTCATTAAGGGTTAGGGTATAGTATCATGGCCAAAAATCCTGCTAATTCGAGTTCTAGATAGCGTTTTCATACTCAGGGTATGCGGTACCGTAGATAGATATATATATATATATATATATGGTTTAGGCTAGCGTACGACGGTCGTACGCTGTGCGCCTGTGTTCACACTTGTTAATATTTTTAATTAATTATAACTAAATCGATAATTGGTATAAAAAAAAATTATAACTACACCTATTAATTTAATTTTCTATCCGCTTTAGTCCCAAATAATTTTTTACCATCATTATGCTTAAATCAATCGTATAGATATCCAACTTAAAAATAATAGTACCTCAATTTTGCTAATGACGAATTAAACACCGAAATTTCTTTTTAGTAAACAGTAATCCAATAATCATTTGTAATAGTCGGTGGAAGTTAATTTCATTTAATTTTAGAATACAACAGTAAAACATTCAATCGACAACAATTAGTGTTCATTCTCTTTTCTAGGGAAGACTTCATTTTCCCAAAGACTATTCATCTCCTACCTACCTCTTTTCATATCCCATCCTCCTTGTCTTCGTCATCGACAATTTCCTATCCTCTTTGTCATCAGGGGGATAGACTGCATTTGGTCTTGATTTTAATACCCTACCTGGACGAAAGATAATTTCCAATTGACACTTTCTCCTTTTCGATCGTTAATAACTGACATCATAATCCAGCCGTCATCGTCGTGAGATCTGACCAACCTCCGGCGAGATGCAGCCTTGGACGTAGAGCTAGCCGATGTTAGACAAGGAGGAAGGGATATGTCCGGAGAAGCGGGAGAGGATGGGGTGCGGAGGCGGTTAGAACTCTGACGAGTGGCGAATTGGAATAGGGAGTGGTGAAGTTCAAGGAAATGGTGGGGCGGGATACTAGGTTTTATAGGACGGCAAAGCAGGAGCGGTGACGATCTCATTAGTAAAATTTGGTTCCATTTTTTGTGAAGGACAACGGGATCGGGAAGATCACTGCATACAATTGTCAGTGGGGATTCTGTTGCTAGCCTGGCTGTCAAGTACTTGGTTCAGGTATGGCTGATGAACTTCTATCAAAACGATTTGGCTTGGATTCCTCTGATAATAAGCTAATAACATAGTATCGTTGCTGTTAGAATTTTGTTACTCTGTGTGAGGTTGCTTTCAGTGAGATTTTGTTTTAGGAGCAATTTGGTTTCCTAGTGAGACTCTTGGCACTGACTCACCTGTAGTTACCCAAGATGTGAAGCTTTGTTCGGAATAGAGTGACAATTTGTCGGCAGTACTCAAACCAATGGGAGGAGGTGTTCTGTTAGTTCAAAAGAGCGTTCATTTTACTTGGTTCTTCAGAAGAACTAACTTTTGGGGGAATGTTGTGAAAAAGAGATAGATGACTGACATGATATTGGGCGTCCTAAAGAAATCAGCATTGGGTACGACCATGAGAGCGAGACATTAGGATTACTATGTCCAGGTTTTCATATAGTGTGAGAATCAGATTTCCAAGCATGCTTCCCAGTTCCAATTCGGAGAAGACATACCTCCGCTAGCGGTATTCTTGGTTCTCTGTTCAAAGACGAAGCCTTGGAGGATGTTGCCGTCGAGAAACTGAGTCCTCTAGTTATTGCACTTTCCGACACTGTCTAAGTCCTTCGACACTGTCTTCGACCCTTTTCCCACAAACCTGATTATTCTTTCCCAACACACAGGAATTGAACACATTGGCATAAAATTTCTTCCCTACAATTGCATCGATAAATTCAATTGTATCGATAAATTCATTCTTCACGGGGTACGTTGAACAATCCGGCAGCAATCAGGAGAGTTTCAATTCGGATATATGTAGGGCAATAATTGCTCTGGGAAAGAGAACCAGCGGGTCAGGTAAAAGCGCTCGATTATATCGTCGTGGGGTCCCGGCACCGCTGGATTCGTGTTACCAGTCAACGCCCTTGGATTGAATACGAAGTGGAGTGTCGATTTCCCTTGCAGCAGCCTGAATCCGAAGCTCTCTACTGCTTGTCGGCCGGAGCTAGGGTTGCTGCCGGAAGCTCCAGCTAGCGCTCCCCTAAAATCAACTATCTCCTTTCTCATCTTATTTTGATTTCCAAACTAAGAACAAAGCATCAAACCTTAAACTAAAATAAAAGGCAGACACATTCGTTCCCCCTTGTCGGCTGGGAGGAAGAAGCAGGGACCTGTGTTCATGATCGATCATCGTGGCGAGTCCACAGGGGAAGACAACTCGCAAGCTGGGATTCGCCGACATCTATTCTTCGTCGTCTAACCACCACCGTTGAGAGATGAGATCTGTTTTCATCATCGATCATCTTGGCCACTCCACAGGAAAAACGCTCGCAAGCTGGGATTCGCCGAGGTTGATCATTCGTCGGCTCAACACCGGCGTAGACTGAAGATTGAATATATGTTTGTCAAATAGGTCTGGCCGCTTGGGGAAGAAGAATAAAAGTTAAATGAAATCCCATAAAAAAAATTGGACAAGATAGGGAATATATTTCTAATTCTAAACACAAACTTTGGGTATTCAAAATGTGTGATTTGGAAAAAGAAAGTATTCAAATTTATATAATCAAAAGTTATATGAGAAATGAATGATAAAAATTTATGGGTACTAAACCTTACACATCAATTATTTAATGGACGTAGTTATAATTTCAATTATCATTAATAATTAATCTACTCCTAATGACATTAAAAATAATTAGTAATTAATTTACAAGTGTGAACACAGGCATACAGCGTACGACCGTCGTACGCTAGCCTTTGCCATATATATATATATGGTGCCTTCTACGGTACCCCGGGTGAAATTCGGGGTACCGCATACCTTGAGTATGAAAACGCTATCTAGACATCGAATTAGCATGATTTTTGGGCATGATACTATACCCTAACCCTTAATAAGTGAATCCTAGGTCCTAATTATCTAAATCATAAACTATAAACCCTAAGATAGTGCATTACTTTTTTTGCCTATATTTGGACGAATCATAACCGTCAATTATTGTTTCTAATTAAATTGATCTTGGGGTATAAGATTTAGATAATTAAGACCTAGATTTTGAT